TCAGGGACCAGTGAGTAATATTTGATGTCTAAGCCAAATTAACTTCAAGAATATGGCAGTGTCATGACTGATTCAGAAATGCTCCTACTTCAGCACCAATTCCCTGTGGAGTAATGCAACACCACACTTGCAGATTTTTCTCTGCTGCACAGCATCTGCCAGACTCTGGCTGATTGGCAAAAGAAAAATTAAACATTTATGTGGCAGATGGATCAGATGTGTGCACTGTCAGTCATTCATTAGTACAGACAATTAACGAGGATAGGTTACATATTGCTGCCACCCCAGCCAAGAAGGCTTTGTATGAGCAAGTCACGGAGCTTTGGGGAGTCCAGGAGTTTTCCATGCACACAGCACAACCTTTCCCTAAGCCATGGAGAGTAATTTCAGAACTTATGAAATTCTGAAATTTACAAACAAGATCACTGTGGTAATGCATAAGTCAGAATTTTAGATCCTTCCTCATCACCATCAAAATTTGCAATTATATCTCAGTCCTTTTTACCGACTAAAACCTTTGCAAAATCCATCCAGCTAGTGAGAAAAAAGAAGCAACAATCTTGGGAAAGGGATTCCAAAATGTAGCTCTTTGCTGTATACTGCAAGCAATCTTTGAGCTGACAGTAAAAATCTTTACATTTGAGATACACACAGAATCTGAATTGCCAGCTTTAGAATTTATTGTGCAAAGATGACATTTTATACACATCTACTTTCAGAACGATGGCATCAGAGCTACTGCCAGGATTGAGACAGTAATCTGTGCCACCAAGATTACTCAGAAATCCTATTTGTAAACCAAGTCCTATTAAAACACCCCAGCCTCTGAACCTCTCCTCCTTTAGACAGTTATTTCACAGCCTCAGCTGTTTGAAAGGTTTTTTACACTGGAAGGAATGAATGTGACAGATACAGACACACACTGAAGTAATTTAATTAAGCTAACTGGCCTGCAGTTATCAGAAGAGGCCATAAAAGGAGGTAAGAGTGTGGGCTTAAAAATCCATGAAGCTATGTTACGTTTAACCTAGTAGGGTTAGATGGAGCAAACATACACAAATCCCCTGTAAAAGTGGTATCAATGCAATGAATGGAACTGCTGGAAGAGGCAGAGGCTGTTTAACTACACAGCAAGCCAGTTAAAGTTAAGGAATTTGTTTAATTAGGGAAAGCATAATGGCCCCATTACCAAACTGCAACACACAGGGTAGGAAGGCATGGGGGAGGCTGCAGGGACATGCCATCACAGAGACCCACACCAGGGCCAACAGCAAAGCAGTAGTTCCCTTCCGAGCCAACAGATTCCATGGTTCTGCGATAAAAACATGGCTTAGCTGGGCCTATCCTGCACTGTTATGCTTTTCCTCCGCTGTGAAGATAGTAACTGCAGGGAGTGAGCTCCAGGATTCCATGGTTCTGTGATAAAAACATGGCTTAGCTGGGCCTATCCTGCACCGTTATGAAGTGCTTTTCCTCCGCTGTGAAGATAGTAACTGCAGGGAGTGAGCTCCAGCGTTGAGCCCGACAGCCGTCCCTCAGAAATGGGTGCCCCAACACGACAGCAGATGGCACTGCTGGAATGCAATCCAAGCCTGCACCATGCTGCAAAGAGCCCAGAGAGGGCTGCTTAGGCTGGAAGAGAGAGTGGCTCAGTCACAAGTTGTAACACTTAAAACCCGTGGCATTTGCTTTAGGGAAAACGCGAGTCCTTCTGCATCAGAGCCTCAGGGAGAGAGGGGCTCATTCACAAGTTTGTAACACTTAAAATCCGTGGCATTTGCTTTAGGGAAAACGCGAGTCCTTCTGCATCAGAGCCTCAGCAAGAGCTAAACTACAGGGCAAGTATGTTAACAAAAGGCTTAGCTGAAAATGGCACGAGAACCCATCCAAAAGGTCACCTACTGCACTCCCACCTTGCAAGCCAAGGCTTTTGCCAGCACCTCCTTCAAGGGGATGGGCACTAGATATTCCAGTTCACATGAGCCATGGGGGGACAAACCGTTCTGGATTTTAGCAAAAGTACCACTGCCACATTATTTAGGAGAGCTTACTTCTCAATCTCCTCCTTTGAGCTGGCAGGGGAAAGCTCTGCAGCGACAGCAGTTTCAGGGCTCCAAGAGTGTTGAAGTTTTTAAAAGGCCATTCTGGAAGCTGTTTCAGCTGCTGCACAAAGGAGATGCACAAAGTTGGTGCAAAGAGAAGGTTTTATACATGTATACACTTAAATAGATGTAAATGCATGTGTATACACACTATGGGTGTTTTCTGAAACTTACACAATACATAACAAACTTCTTTGCTGGCCCTTTAGCAAAGCAGATGCAACGTATAAGAGTTTAGGTGCACAATACTCAAGCATTTATTTAGTTGCCAAGACACAGACAATTTTTACCCTGGACAAATAACAAAAAAGGTAATACTTCTACACATTTTCAGATACCAAGAGGGCTTAGAAGCTGCTCCTAAGTTACACACCAAAACTGTCAATATTCCCAAATCACTCTGTGTTAAATATCCAGTTCTTATCAATTATGTTCTCCACAATGTACAGTTTTGGATCAGTATCTTGTTTCAATTCGAGTCCTAAAAGCCATTCCCAGGACAACTCTGACATCAGAAGGGGAAGCATTTAAAAACCACACTTCCTTGCACAGCAAATAGCCTGCAGGTTGAGACATCATATTTTATATAAATACACATGGCAATACCACTTACTGCAACACACTTCTTGCTGTACACCTTATCAAACAGTTTAAAATCAGAAAGTCACAAAGAAAAAGCTGCCAACGTATCCTGCCTGTACCGGCGAGTGCAGCCAGCTCAGAGCTGTGAAGCAAGGCAGGAAAGGACAGAAGTTGCCTCAGCCTGGGCCTCTGAAGGCTAATTTGGGCACCAGGCATTCTTCAGCAGAAGGAAAAGCTGCCAAGGGGCTTTCAGCACACAGAGTTCACCTTTCCATGGGCAGGTGTGCCAGGCAGCTCAGGCCTGGCTGCTGCCACTGTAAGGAATGCCCCTGCTGCAGCAGGCATACCCTGCCAGGCAGCCAACCACAAGCAAGAGGGAAAGACACACACTGGCAGCACTATTTTAGATTTCATGCCGTTTCTGCAGTGTTTTCTAGTGTTAATGGTACTGAATTGCTGTCACACTCCACACAGATCTTGAAGGGAGAACAAATAATCTTTCCCTTTCCCTTCTGGGCTCTTCTTGCAGAGCATTTGCCATTAAAAGCATTCTTGCCTCAAGTCAAATTGAAGATCAAATTGTTCACTTAGTCAGGAATCATACACTGTGCCTCTACCTCTTCCGTTCCTTAAAATAATTCTTCTAAATCTTATGTTACAAGAACTGTATTTGCAGCAGAGACAAGAAAAGCTTCCCCTAATTTGTTTACAATTATCTTTAACATTTGAAGGATTGGTGCGAAAACCTCAAAAGGAGTTGTCAAAGCTGGCTACTAACAAGCTTTTAGCAGCATAGCCATACCACACATGCAGAGTAAATTAAGTCAATTACCTTGAAAAGATTTTATATTGATCCTTTGACTAACAACTAAGATTAACAACAAAGCAAGATCAGCAGTAATACAAGCAAGAATGTTTGTCCCTGATTATGAAGAGTTCTGTCACGCAACGCACACAGAAGCAAATTATTGGCTAATACTGTTCAATGAAAAGCAAAAATATTCAACATGTGGTCTTCCATTAAGCAATGAGACAGCTGTAAATAGGATGATAATTGACTTATCTCCAACTGTTTTCAAGTATCAGTTTAATAGCAAAGCATAGTCTAGTCTGAAACCTACTTTTAGATCAATTGCCTTCATTTTTTACATTGGGTATTATGCATATGGTGCAATAAAGAAGTGACATCTATTAGACCTTGAAAAAAAAACACGCTCAGCACACTCCAGTCAGATAAGGAAACAAAGATTTATTACAAATTGGTAGTTTTATAGAGCTACAAAGGTAAACATACATTTAAGAGACAAAAAATACACAATTGAACACAGTCATCATCAAGGCACGTAATGAAAAATCAAATCTGCAACAGCTCATCTTTCCAACATTTGAAAAGGTCACCATGATTTCAATACTCATAATGGCACTTGCACACTATAAACAAAATGGAACAAGTCTGGAAGATAGAAATGCTAAAGTCATCTTTACATCATACACATAATACATTTGCTCATTGGTCACAGTCAAACAAAATTACCAGCAACTGATCTCACAAATCCCACAAAGGTACAAAGTTATTGGCAAAACCAAGGAAAACTCAGATCAGAAAGGCATTATACATATAAATGATTTGGATAGAATGACTTTTTTTTTTTTTTTAAAGTGCAAAGTCCAAGATTTCCCTAAAGGGTAGGCCAAAATACAGCTAGAGCTGCCATTTTCTGAAATGTGATAAAAAACTTTATAATACAGATTTTACAGAATTGCTATGTATCAGTTTATGGAGAATAAACACCAGCCATGGAAGCACTGAACACAAATTTACATGTGATTGCTGTTTGAGAAATATAGCCCAAAGCATATGTAGAACAAGGGAGATTCAGGCAGTTATTTTTGCTTCTTGCTTATTTTTCTGTTTAAAAAAAACCAAGAACAAACAAAAAAACTCACACAGCCCTCATGTCCACCCAAAAAAAGAAAGAATTAAAAAGAAGACCCTTAATGACCTTAACAGAATAAAGTTCTTCCTTCAGTAATCCAATTGCAGAAAGTGGTCTAAGAGCAGTTGCTTTTAGAAGGTCAAGGTAAGTATAATCTCGAATTTACCAAGATTAAGACACTACACATTACAGAAAGCAGAAAAAGCCTAACAAATGAGTCTGCTAACAACTGTTAATCTATTTCAGTGTTCAGGCCTGAAGGCAACTGTGTGCCCCTCCACACACACCAAAAGAAAAAAAAAGGAAGTCACTTTGGAAGGACTTGTACAGGGAAATACCTAATGTGCATTGAGGAAGGGCTGCTTTGTTTTTTGAGGAGGAGCTGTTTCTCAAGCACTAGCTGATCTGCATGCATGCTTTGCATGCTACATTAACACCAATCTGATGGGCACCTGAGGTCAGCACTGCCACTTGGTCACCTGGACAAAACACTTCAGTATTTTATTATCCCAATTTCACACCCGCAGCCAATGTGCACGGAAGACTGATCTTGCATGACAAAACTGTAAAAATCCTTTACATAATAATGCAATCCTCTAAAAGCACAGAGTGGATGTAGCCCTCTGAATAAGGGAAAGAATGGAGAGTCCAAAATGACAAGCATTCCTGTTCCCAGAGCTATGGACAGCTCTGCCATTGGCTGTACTACAATTACTACCAGCTTCATACTGGATCCTCCATCCTGTTTTTAAATAGCTACTTGCACTTGTATGGAATGGACCTAACATCCAAGCTTTTCTGTTCCTTTGTATTATGATCCTATAAAACATGGAGCAGCTGTAATCCAAATTTTGCCATGGTTAATGGTGCTGACATTTACAAGTGCAATGAAAAGCAGGTCCAGTGAAGCAAGTTATCAAAATTGCTGATTGTATTACAAAAATACCGTGTAAATCCATTTGAGGTATTCTGATACTGCAGAACAGCAGTTTCTCAGGCTCCTTAAATAATGACAAATAAAAAAGGTTTGCCTGAAGACAAAGGTGATGGGCTATATTTTAATGTGTTATTCCATCATTGTGTGTATCCAAGATGCAATTTCTTATGAACTTAATATTAAGTCTTCCAAAATAACAAAAGTGCTCACTTCTAGGCATGCAGAATGTCGCCTGTGAATTGCTTGAGTGTAGGCAGCATGACAAAACACAAAGTCACTTTCATATATTCAGGATCAAGGCAGTATAAACTTCTCCTACCTTTGGTTTCATCGAAGACAAATACACATTTAGAAAGGACAAATTAAAAAAACCCCAATGAGTAAAATATGCATGATTTCCTAAAAATAAAAACATACTGCTGATTTAAAGACAGTTTCTTGATTTTTTTTTTCAACTCAGTGACATTTTAAAGTGCAGTATAAGTATCTGTTTAAAAATGGTGAACTAAAATTTAAGAAAGTTTCTTCCCACTTAAGGGCAAATGTGGAAGTTGCAGCATCTCTCTATAAAGATCTGTCTCTAATTGTGAGAGCAGATTACTTGAGAAAACATTATTGTTCTGGTGTTTCCAACAGCATTAGAAGCATCTCACCTTTTTCCTTCATTTCATGCTATTCCCAAATTCTGTTTCATTTTTTCATATACAACATAGCTGATGCTGACAGCTGGAAGCACTTTCATAAAATTAGGGGCTATGCCCCTATAAAGTCCTCGGAGTCCCTCTGTAGCAACAATTCTTTGAAAGAGACCAACCATGCTGAGCTGTGGAGCTCCTTCCACTGAAGCTAGAACAAAAAGATAATGTGTTATAAAACAGTTCTGGTAATATTCAAAATCTTGAGCAAGTCTCAAACACCTGGATCATGAGCCTACTATCTCAGGTCCAGTTTTAATCCCACACATTTGAGAGATATCCATCTGTCTTAATCCCAGTGGAAAGCATTATCCACCTATGTTCCTTGGAAATCTAGGCTCCCATCCTTAAGTCTATGCAGAAACCTATCAAACAAAAATCTCAACTATGAAACTATCCTAATGAAATGCCCTACAGAGCAAACACTGCTGTCTACCCTCACAGGACAATTCAAGCCCTGTCATTTAATCTCTAAAATTTAGAAAACATTGTAGAGTTTAGAAGAGTGCTTCCAGACTATGACAGTGGCTGTGTCTGGTAGTCTTGTATGGAATGTGGCTCTCAGAATACATAAAGCACCAGTGCTTGAAATGTTACTTTTTAAATTGAGTATGAAGAACAACAGTGTTGGGGGTAAGAGGGAGAAGAGACCAACATTAAGAAGAGTTTTCCAGATACATCCTTAGTTTTTCCAATTTTTATTTTTTTATTCCTACGTCTCTGCTAGAGCTATCCCCATGATGCAATTTTCACGTGACCACACAGAAGCACTTTCAGGAAAGAGAACTCACCTTGGGCCTGCATGCGTGTTCTGACGAGAGCCAGAGGGTAACTGGCTAACTGCCCACACGTGCTGGAAATGGTGCCACAGCCCAGGAGTACAAAAACACCTGGGTTCGCAGAGCTCGATGCGTAGTGCTCTAGCCACGTACTCTTTAAGAGCTGCCAAGGTATAAAATTGAACAGTAAGACAAGAGATCTGCATTCAAAAAGTTAAACAAGTGCTTCTTTATTCATAACGAATCCTAAGGGCTCAATCCTGAAAAGCACCAATTTCACTGGACCAATTTCACTACATGCTTGAAGTGCACAGGTAAACACCTTAGCACACAGGGAAGGACTTCAACCAGACTACAACAGTTAGTACCTAGAGGAGAAATCCTTAAAAGATCCAGCAGTAGGAAGGGGCCCATGCACCTGTAATACTTTGGGGAGAGGATGTGGGAAACAACCCAGCACCCCACAGAGTGCAATGAAAGCTCACACATCTGTGCACATCATCCAATGCAGAAACAAGGATGCAAACTGTAGAAAAGAAATTCCACACAGCTTTGAAAATGTTTGTTCAGACAGTTCTGGTGATGGCTAATGCAGTGTCAAAAAAAGATTTGTCTAGACTAGAAAAAAATTAGTGTGTGTGTCTGAGTTATTTAAGATACTTTGAAGCAACACACATTATCTAAGGTAGAGAAAGACTTGCAGCATTGCTGGTGGTGAAATAGGTGCCAGTTTCTCTGGAAAGGAAAGACAGCAGTGTTTCAAGCTCCTCAGAAAAGCTGTGTCAGCCAGAAAGAATTCTGGTAACATGCACAGACACAGAAGGAATTCAGGTTAATATAACCCACTCATAAACCTAACAACTGGCAAAAAATGTATAAACTATCATAATATGAATATCCTTTTAAAGGCACATATTTCCTATAAAATGGGTATGTTCCAGCCTAACAGGGTTAGGTAAGTATGAAAGCTTGTGTTACTGCCAAGGTCTGTATAGTCCTCTCATTGCACATTTCCTGCTTGGTACTCTTGCGTGGAAGGGCCCATCTGCCTCTTCAAGAGGGGCAAACAGAAACACTGAGGTCTAGTAACATCAGTGGAAAGTCTCACTCACTTGTCTTTTTAAAATTGAACCAGCTGTAATAGTGCAATAGTACAAACTTTCTAAAAATATTGATGATTTTTGTAAATTAATTAATGACAGCTACATGCATTCACTGATTTAAACTCACCTCATAAACAGCAAGGTCAATGCCAGCATAAGGAATTATACCCAGAATATTAGGAATATAGCCTTTGTAGAAGGCCTTTGGACCTTCTCTTTTTAAAATCTTCTTAGCACAGTCAAACATCCCAGAATATTGCCCTGTTTTACCCACAGCCAATCTGGTCTTTAAAACCTAAAAGGAAAAAAAAAATAGCAGTCCTAATTACATACCTATTTATTAATCTAGTTTAGATACACAGTATATTTCTGTTTATTGAATTCTCTTGAACTGCTTTCCACTTTGGTGCTGCAAATCTCTTTTGATAACTGGCAAGGCATTGTTAGCAGCAGGCTTCTTCAAGTTCTGTCCTTAGTGCAGGGCACCACACATTACTATACACTAGCTTACAAATTCTTAGCCTTTTAAAATTGCATTTTAGCTTTATTTTCTTGATTAAAACAGGCAGTTATTTGATGAACTTGAGGGCAACAGCATAGGCAATATTCCATACAAGTATTAGCTAAGGCTCAAGTGAGAGTACTAACATGCTAGCAGATGATACTGCTGATCTGGGAACACTAAAGCCTATTAAGAAAATAATATTTCAAAAAGTATGACACTTACAGAGGTAGTTGAGGAATACAAGGAATAATTGTGTCTCACTACTGAAACCCAGCACCTGATTAATAATGCAAGCAAGTCTGTACTGTATCTTAGAACAAAGAAATTAGTAACAGCATCCAAAAGAAACCACAGAGGAAGTTTCCTGAGCAACAATTTGGTCTACTTTAAAGCCTCATAAGACTGCATCTTCCTCAGGAATTTCCTGACACTTGGCTTTTCTCTCTTACTTAGAAACATCCTAAAAACACTTCCAGGACAGTACCATATCTTTGTGAGGAAGACCAGAAGACACTGTAGAACAGTTCCCTATCTTTGTGAGGAAGACCAGAAGACACTGTAGAACAGTTCCCTTATCTCCACTGATCTGTGTAATCCAGACAATCTACATCATGTTTCAGTTCTTCCCTAACTTAACCCATCTCTGTACTCAGCTCAGCTGGGATTCACCCTCTGGAACAACAAGGATGCTCTTTAAAGAGATCATTATTATTTCAGCAATGAAAGCTGTTCCATTCCTAATGAAATCCCCATCCATGAAAAAAGCTATTTAGGTTACATTTGATTTGCCATTTCTACCCAACTTGATGTTGGTATTAGTTTAGTCCCAGCCCCAACATCTATTCCAACAAGGTTCTGCACAAGTGATAAACCTTCTGGGGAACCAGCAGTATAGAAAATACACGCTGTTTCTGTGAAATGGTGTGTTACAGTTACACTGGAGCAGTTATTATATTAACACTAGTTAAATTGCAGTGTGTAGTACCACCTACAGGGGAAAGAGCAGCCAATCCACCCAGCCTGAGCTGCAGCTGTTACATCCTTCCCCCACACTCTTCTCCTTATCAGACCCAGCTTCCCATCCTAACACAAAAGAACTTCAGTTCTGACCAGACACTATTCCTTACATATAGCAGGAAAAGGATTTATGACCAATTTACAAAATGCTTGAATACATACTGAATTTTAAATGTTCTTGGATGATCTTTCTTCCTTCACTAGGTTTTATTTAAATATTGTTTTTAAAAATATTATAAAGCAAAACAACACAAGAATCAGTTAGAACTTAGTACATTCTAAAATGCCTAGCACTGAAAGTCTGAAAGGAAGTCCAAAGCAAAAAAAATTAGGGTACCAGATAAGAGAGGAATTTTTACAATATTTTCAAGAGCAAAATGAGGTTTATTTAGGAAACAAACCAAACATTTTCCAGGTTCCAGTGGAAGCAGATTCTCTTACCTCCATGGGATAAATAGAAGTTTGTGCTGTTGCTCCAGCCAAAGAACCAGATACAAATCTTTCAACAGTGCCTAACTTTCCATCATCCCTAGTGAGTATCTTCTTATACTGTATAATTAAAACACAAACACACGTTTTTTAGGAGTGGTAAGAGTTGTTATAAAAGGTAAGAGTATAGTACAAAATGTCTTTTCAAGCATAAGAACATAAGAGCATAAGAACATGCCTGTTCTTAGTTTTCCATGTATTTACAGTCACATTTCCTAACCCAAAAAGATTCTCCAGAACACAATAAAAAACATTCCAGCCTGCAAGAATTCTTAGATTAAATACCTCAGTCACCCACAGTATCATCAGTGTTCTGCAAACAGCCAACTCAAGAGTACCTACACTAAGAACTCCAGAAAACAAAGAGGAACCAAATCCCCTTGCAGATCCAGCTGTCCAATCAAAGAATGAAAGATTTCACAGAAGCACAGATTCAATTTCACAGAAGCATTTGAGTACTGTACACACTGTCATTCCATGAGTAAAAGAATAACGTGCCCGAAGTTATTCTGTGGCACCAAAATCTGCTGTTCAGTCTTGCAACATCCCAAATTTATTTGGTATTTTGTTGGTTTTATCTCCTCCTTATAGAGATGTGCAGTGTGCTCATTTGGCTTTACTTGAGGCACTAGTATGCCTCACAGAGCAAAAATAAAGCTCATTTAAATACACCAGAATGGGAGTTCATTTTCCAAAGGAGGATTAGGCCTTAACATGATGCTTAAAGCTGATTCAGAGGTAAATATAACTCTGAAATCCAGGATGAGGGCATCATACATAGCACTGTGATATTTGACTTCAAATGAATCCCCTGTGAATTCAGCTAGCATAATGTGCCAAGTTCTTGCCTGCTCTCACTTTGCAGCAACAATCTAGATATGAATGCAGTACTCCACACAAAGCCATGCAACATGTAACAGATATAATTCATTTGCACTGCTTATAATGCAACAGTAAAATCTGCCTAATAGTAAGTATTCTACAGGCTATTTTAAATCTGAAAGTCACTCAAATTACTATGACAAAATCCCCAACAAGGGGACAATTTGGGACAAGGGGACAAGATGACAACAATCCTATATAATACAACAGTGCCAATAATGAACATTGAGAGTGACTTAGGACTTCAGTTAGCATTATTTTCATTGTTGATTTATCATCCTACCTGTTCATAAGCCCAGAACTTAATAGCTGTTTCAGGAGCTATTTTCACAACATTCACACCATTTCCCCTCCAAAGGGATCGGACACCACCTTCTTTCAACATTTGCTTAAAACCACTGGCTATATTCATTTTGTTTGACTTTGAACCATGAACCTAAAAAAAACCAAAACCAAAGTCACAGTACAGAACATGGCTCTGATTAGATTATAAAACTCATCAGTATTAAATTGATTAAATATACCAACTGGAAAAACTGTATCACTATTGAAAAAAATCTAATTTTAGTAGCAGAAGTACTGTAACAATGTGCTTACATTTTTTTCACACATCTATAAAATACCATTTTTATAAACACAAAAAATGGAAATTGTCAAAACATAGCCAGACCTCTACAATTTAAACACTGACCTTGGCCCCCCATTTTTTCCCAACAGATCTCTAGAAACTGAAGTGATGCACTGGAAACCCAGAAATTCTTGAACATTGCACCTACCTGCATCATGACTTTAAGGCGATCTAAGGGTGCTGTACCTGTTCGAGAGACAGCACCAGCCACTCCTCCTGCCAGCAGCTGCTTCCACCACTGCCCAGTCTTCTTCTCTTCCTCCGTGAACTCATCTGGAACAGTCAAACTGTCTCCTATATCCAATACCTGTATGAATGCAAAGCAAAGATGTGCAAGTGACTATCTCGTTCCATCACCTCAGTTTTACCCACAGTTCTAACTCCAAATGAATATACTACCTAAGAATGTGCAAACAAAGTGCTAGTTACATATAAAAAATGTCTCTAACTTGCATTATATAATTAACTTGCTCTGCATTGCTATTCAATGAAAATGAACTTTAAGTGACGTCTACATAGATATTGAGCAATAACACCACAGACCCACCATTTCAAAGACTGCACCATCATCATTAAAAATTACCACAGGCTTCCTCCTTGAGTATGGCCCAAGCAAAGACATTCTGTCATGATCAGCAGTGCTCCAAATGCTTATATGTTGCAGCTAACCTTTCACCAGACAGTCTTGTGGGATTACTTTGGTAATCTCCTAAGGTTGCTAACAAGAGATTTCTCTCACGGTAATTTATTCACACATGTGGGATGTCTCCTTCTCCCACACTCCCCAACATTTTAAAGCAGAGTTTTAACAGCTGATGTATCAGAAAATTCTATTTCCAGTGACTGCTGTGTATTATCCTACCAAATGAATAGTTTGACAGATGCCTTATAGATTTTCTTATCATCAGTTATACTCAAAGACACATTTAATTACTTTTTTCAGCTATAAGAGTTTGACATTTCACTAAGGGGGGCACTTTTGTATTGCCATTGGATTTGATCAAAGAACAACATTAATATAGGTTTTAATGATAAAACCAAGACAGGCACTATGAAAATTCACGTCACTTTTGCTTTTAAGTGTAACCTATAATCATCACACATGAGAAAAATATACTGTAGATAATGCAAATCTGCTATTACACATAAATTATATTTATAAAAAGAACAAAAATATATTAATAACTGATAAGTACTGACCAGAAAGTGTGGTAACTGATAAACTTTTGAACTACCACTGATTTTAACTGTAGACATTATATCCCTAATTTATGCTGCATTCTCTCTCTGTCAGTAGACAAAACACTGTCCTGGTCATTTGGGACACAACCTGCAGAATGCAGAGTGTAAATATAGCCACTGAAGAAAAAGAATAAGCACCACCTATTCTGGATATTGAACACAGAAGAGATTAATTGGAAAATGCTTTCATCTTTCTTGCATTTGAGGTTTCAAAGTAAGGTGTCATCAGTTGCTCAACCACGGAAACATCGAACAATCAATCAAAACTTTCAAAACACAAATTCAGTGTTCTAAGAGATAATATGTGTATCTACCTGGGTTTAAACTTTGTGTGTACCGAGACCGAAATACAACTAAGGAAATAAATAAATAAATAAATAAATAAATGTGATAAATTTGAGGGTGTTTATAACACAAAGGCCACAGCTACCATAATAATTCTATGCCAATGTAGCTATCTGCCTGGAAGGGTCTGGTAGCAATTATATTATAAAAACAGAATTGTAAGAGCTGTATGTAAACACCAGCCAGGCTGGGAGGTTTCACATCTGCTCTTATCTCAAAGACCAGCTGTGTTGCTGGATTTTGCCTGCTGTGATAACTGGGTCATCAGCTGACTGCAACACTAAGATCACAGGAGACTCCCTCAGTTGTTCCTTGGGGGCAACTAATGACATTCCATAATAAAAAACCAAAAAATGCAGATCTTATGTTTAATAATAATAATAATAAGGAGCATTTTATTAAAGCAAAGTTTTTTTCCACTAAGTAAGCTGGGACCAGGACTGTTTGATCTCATAGCAGTGCTTCAAGTGCTCTCTTCAGCAAACAGGGAGCTAACTGCCTTTTGGCAAGCATTCCTGAGCTGACCTTGTACAGTGTCAAACACTCAAAGCTCTCAGATCTCATAAAATGTTTTTTATTATGGAAATGCTGACTAATCCCTGGAGATATAAATGGTCTCACTATATTCAAAGGCATCCAACCTTGCTTTATTTCCTCCAATAATCTACAGGAAGGATATCTAGCAAACAGAATTACTGTTGGTTTACTTACTTTACCATTGTTCTTAAAAATCAGTCACTGAGGTGTTAACAGCTCCATGCAATAAAAACTTTAAAAAATTTGTCTGCAAATAAATAACCTATTGCTGTATATTCTGTATGCTTAAATTAAATTCTATGGCACAAAAGAGCACAATGTGCAGACAAAATCACCTGTCAAGACACCAGTGGTTGTATGATAATTACAATGATACTATATAGCTGTAAATACAAATTTCAGCATAACAAACAGTTAAAATATCTATATAAGTTGTTTCAACAAATCAAATTGTACTGTAACCTGCAAAGAAAAATATTTAATATTGTGGTTATTATTTTTCTGTGAAATATCTCCAAAAGAGGAAAAAGATTCTGTCCTAAGAATTACTGATAATTATTTGCAAAGTTTAGATGACGTTGTTCGTTCAGAAGGAACTCATCTGACACAATCCTGCTCGTAAATGGGAGAGCATGAAGTGAAAAGGAAAACCAAACAATACAGATATGCTTGAAATACAACAAGCGTGAAGCTGTTATACTCAATATCACAAATTAACACATCAGAGATGAACTTAAGAGCTGCACTAGGTTAAAAGGGAAGTTGAACTTACAGTGGAATGTTTCCAGTATCGAATTATTTCTTCAATGTCTGTAGCTGGATTAAACATAAAATGATCTCTCCACTCATTCCAGTCTACTGTCATTGTCCCATCAGCATCAATACTGAAAAGAAATTGAACAAAACTATATAAGGAAATAGTAATGGTAGGGTTTTGTTCTGGTTTTTTGCTTTTTCTTCCCCCTCCACCCACCTTTTTTTTAAACCTAGGTTATCACATCAATAACTGTTGTGGTGCATGCTTCTTCAAATAACAACTGTAAATTCCAAACTGACTGTAAATCCCATATGGTGACTTCAAGGCTGAATCTGCCATGGCCTTTCAATACTATGCTTCTCTTATTCAAGTGCATCTGTCCTATTCCATTAAAAAACTTAATACAGTGCTTCTTTCTATCAACAACATTTACAGAGAAATCTCCTCCCAGAACCAGATGCTCCCATAGTCACTACCAACACCTTTCAAAGTCATAATCCCATTTATCCCCCTTTCAGAAATAGAAAAATATAGAAATTAACAATACAAGGAAGATTAAGCTACCTCAAAAAATAATAATTCCTGACCTTTGCAGGATCTTTTCTGCCTGTTTTTCTGAAATGTTTATACCCAATATCTTGAGAGACTGGACAACTTCTGAGGCTTCAATTTTTCCTTGAAACATTAAAAAAACAAAGATGATACATATTTAAAATGTGGATCTTAATCAACTTAGCATCCTGGAGCTCATTGCAACAGCTGAATAATTGCAAAGATGATCTAAAGAAATCAACTTAGCACAGATGATGTGTTTTGATTTTCTACTACAATGATGAAGCAAATAGGATGCATATATACAGTTAGTGAAAACTGGTTTATCTTTAATAGCTAGAAATAGCCAGAAATTTTCTCACAGTTTCTCCATTTGGGGAACAAGGAGCCCCAGTTCAGTGTATCGGAGAAAACAAAAATATTAAAGACTATATTTAATTTTTTTTATCTATAGCAAACTCTAATTATGATCATGTTAAGGAAAAGAAGGACTCCACAGTCACAGCTTTTTTTTCCAGTCAGACAAATATAGGTTACACTACTTTTAATGCAGTTTCTTCAGACAATGTTTGAACAAATAAAATAAATCAAGGTATACCATCATTGTTTTTGTCCAGGCTCTTAAATGCCAGTTTCATCTTTTTCTCATGTTCTTTAAGATACTGCATAAATTCTTCAAAATCCAGCTGTCCATCCTGGTTAGTATCCCCAGCTTTAAAAATTTTCTATTGAGAGAAAAATTAATATTTTATTTGTCCAAATTACAGCAGGTCACAAAGCACCATTTTGTTTTCATAATTTAACACACTCAATATTTGCATAGGGAGAGAAAACACTTGGCAGTAAATATATATTTAAGAAAGCATTATTTATTATTTACATAACTTTACTGTGCAGAAATTTTAATGTTTCTTACCAGCACTGGCAAGTCACACCTACAGGTATCAAATAATTTTGGAGGAAGAGGTGGGGGACAAGAGAAAAACCTGAGAGAGAACAAGCTTAAGCCTGTGTGTTTCCTGTACATGAAATCTGTCAACAAAATAAGCAGAACCTTGACTATCATCTTAATAAAGTGGTCTATTAATTATGAATTATAAAGATAAAAAATGCAAACAGCAATTAACTGTTTAAATGCTGACCAAAAATGACAAAGACTTGCCTCACTGGCACTTGCAGCCCGCAGCATTTGAGAGAACATGGCTTTCTGCTCCAAACTGAAGCCCTGACTACATTTTTAAACAAACACAAACACACTTATCTTCCTTCCTTGTGTGTGCTTCCTAGGAACTGTCCTGCAGATAGAAACACTTCATGTAAAATTAACTATGCATTGAATGCATGGTATGCAATTGCCAGGACTGCAGGAAAACACAGGCAGACATTTCTTCACCAACAACAGGCCAGGAGACTTCACCATCTCCATGTGAGAAAACTTACTTGTCAGAGAAGGGCAATTGTAACAGCCCTGCAAGCAGCAGCCTGTAATTACTGAGTCTTGTGCTCAAGGCAAAGCCCAGGGAAGCTCTGCAGGGTTTAGGAGCTTGGGCTTCACAGCCCAGCAAGGGCAGCTCTGGGCACGGAGAGCCACGGCCACAGCAGGGCCAGAGCCACTGCCATCACTCCTCGTGCTGCTGCAGCACTGCTGTCCTGTCAGGCAGCAGGGAAACCAGCCCAGAACCCTGCTCCAGAACACAAGATTTAAGGGAAAATTATGTCTTATCCCCTCCTTTGGACATTGGTCCCTGTGGGTCCCCTCAATGTGCAAAATCCTAGGGGGGAGCACTCAGTAGCAGACAGGAGACCGAGCTGACAGCACGACCTCCTCACTAACTGCAGCTCCACAGCACTGCAGCTTACGTGTAGCAGAGATGCTGAAAAGCAGCAAATGAGAATAGCCTCGCTCAGCTTCAGTCCTGTGCAGATCACAGAAGGCCAAGAATGAAGCAGCAGAGCACCGGGCTTTTGTGCACAGTGAAGGGAATTGCAGAAATCCAGCAGCTGCTCATTCACAAGCACAGGCAGCTGTGTATGCTCCTGATCCTGAAAAATTGAAATTGAAAAACTGAATTGAAAAATTCACCGGTGTCCTTCTTTTCTGCAGCTGAAATTCTTCCCAATTTCAAGCACCAAAAATTCTTCCACATATCTTCTATTCAGCAGACTGCCTTGTGCAACAGTAATTTCTGAATAAAGTAACCCTCAACAAGATTTGAATGGCTGTTCTAATCTGCTAAATCTGGTTTTAATTTTGTTTATTCCTCTTTAATTAGTAGAGGACTCAAAAGACCAAAGTCCAACAAGTTCTAGGCTACAGAAACTAAACACAAAGGAAGCAGAAAATTGGTCGTATTGGTATTTGTTGCAGGAGTCTGAAAAAGACTGAGGGCATCTACACAATTTATGTTGCCTCCTTCATCTTCCCTATCCCTTTACAAAAAGTAATGTACTTCAAAGTTTCATCTCAAAAAATCAAAATGTATAAGATTATCAAGGATTTCTCAATGAAATGGAGCAAACTGACATGGTACGCCAGTGAAATGAGCAACTTATTTACCTTCCATAATACAGCAAGTTGTGCACTGTAAAAATCAAGTCAATTACTCCACTCACGGCACTTCATGCTGCAGGGTCTGAGTGTCCTGCTGGGTTCCCACACCCTCCTGAGAAGAGGTGACATATGTGACACTTGCAATCACTTTGTGTGAGTTCTACTCCACACCAATTGTTACTGTTCCCAATTGCTAGCTGAACTACACAAACCAAAATGCAGAACAAGGAAAGTGGTTTTCTGTGTCACATATCTGTGAGAACAAAACTTGAACTAAATTATAATTATAGTAAAATCTCCACTGCTGAGGATGATGTGAACCAAAGAAAACAGAAACTCCTATGTTGAGAGCTGGTAATTTCTGTATGTGAAGGGTGACACCTTTCAGTTCATCTGCCAAAGAAATGCAATCCATATTGCAACAATGAGAAAATGGTAAGCACAAACATACTCTCCATTTCCTACTTTTGTTGTGACAGTCATTTTCCAGACTTCGAGTCAGTCTCAGCCACTCTCAGCAAAGCAGGACACAAATGACAGGGAACAAAAACATATGGCACATGTGTTTTTCTCTCAGTACAAATCTAAAAGCTCATGCAAACAAAAGCCTCTTGCTGTCTGTGAGGTGAACTAATCATGTGGGTGTTAGGGTTTCAGATTAAAATCAGTAATTTGCAAGTTTGTGAAACTAACAGGAACACCGAAAGAAGCTTGTCTTCTACTTGGCAGGCAGAAACTTCCTCCTGGGGGGGGTTCCATACTCTCGGCATAGCCAGCAGCAAGACACCTCTGGATTCTGTGGGGAGCCTGGCACACTGAGTCCTCGGTACAAACTGCCCCTTCACAGCATCAAATAGTAATTCAAGTTGGAAGGAACCTCTGGAGTCCATTGAACTAACCCCAGCTGAAAGCATGTCTAATTAGATCTAATTAGATTAGGTTGTGTGGGACCACATCCAACTGAGTCTTGGACATCTTCAAGGAAGGAGATTCCACAGCCTCCACACACAAACTACTCCATCAGTCAATCACTCCCCACTTCAGCTCAACACTGAATCCAACTCTGCTCTTCTGCATTTAATATACCACCAGATTTTGTATAATTACAGCCACTTGTCACTCTCCCAGTGCCTGGGTCACCAGCTTCTCAGATGGAGGAGGACTGGATGCATTTTAAAATAGGCATGCTTACAATAGAGCAGGAACCAAGGTGCCAACACTCGCTTACAAGCCCTGGGAAACAATGTTTGGCATGCCTGCCACATAAAACCTGCCATTTCTTGTTACTGCCTTACTGTGGGATCACCTCACCTTCACAAAGGCTCAGATCCAAATGTTTATTTTTCAAGGCACACCAATTTTTTTCTCATTGTCTAAAAACTGTAATCCCAAGCAGTAAGGATAATTCACTGGGTAAAATGAAATGGTGACCACATAAAGAATTGTTAATTACTGACAGATATAGGAACACAGTTTAGATGATGGCATGAGCTATAGCAATGTGTGCTTGCAGACCACAAAGCAAATCATATCCTGGGCTGTGGAAAAAGAAGCATGACCAGCAGCTCAAGGGAGCTTCCATTCCCCTACTCTGCCCTCATGAGATCCCACCTGGAGCAGTGTATCCAGCTCTGGGGTTCTCAGCACAGGAAAGACACAGACCTGGTACAGCAGGACCTGAGGAGGCCCCAAAGATGATCAGAGAGCAGGAGCACCTCTCCTGTGAGATGCTTGTGAGGAAAGGCTGGAATTTTTCAGACTGAGGATGAGAAGGCTCCTCAGTTGCAGCCTGTTGGTACTTGAAGGGTTTTATAAAAGAGACAAATATTTTATTTATCAATAGGACAGGGAGAATGGTTTTAAATGCAATGAGTGTTGATTTAGATTACATATAAGGAAGAAGTTTTTTACGACGAGGGTGGTAAAACACTGGCACAGGTTGCCCGGAGCCTGGCAGATGCTCCACCCCTGGGAACATTTGAGGTGAGGCTGGGTGGGGTTCTGAGCAACCTGATACAGCAACCTTGCTATATTGCAGGGGAATTGGACTACAAGATCTTTTAGAAATCACTACCAATCCAAACAATGCTAGGATTCTGTGATCTTTCTTTTTAATGCTACAAGCCTTCACACAAACAGACTAAAATGCTCCTGTGCTGACCTATTTGGTCATGACACTGTCACCTTTGTCTTTCTTCCTCTTTTCTTTTCTTCATAATTCTACTATTTTTGTTCTTTTTCTGTTGCATATTTCATTAATACGGCTACTTTCCAAGTCCTGCACAACCAACACAAGAGGCCATGAGCAGACTGAAACACTGAAGGTATTTTTAAAAAAATTCCTCCATTATATAAATCATGTTGCAGTGTTGAATTCCTACTCCATCAGAAGACCTCTGTATTTGGTGTGGAAATGTAAGTCAGTCGGCAGGTCTGTTGAAAAAAAAAGAATTACAGACAGTCTTTATATACACATCAAAAACTCCCTACCCTTCTCAGTAAGTGTCCTGATGAATTATTAGATTGCTCTATGCCAAAGTTATGAACTTTAACACATTCATGGCTACAACGTAAAGACAATGAATGCAGTACACTAGAAATCTTGATGGTTTTATGCAGACTTTTCTTTCAAATTCACAGTCTAATTTTTATATTATTTAGTATCATTATTTGTGCATTGTGCATGAGTCTTCACATTCTGTTTACAAAACTGAACTGTGCATAGAAGGTGGGGCTGCTGAGTAGAAAGGATTGCCAATCTATTCATTAGCTTGTTATTTCAGCTAATTAATATAATGTAAAGAATATTTAATAGGAAGTGATTCATCAAGAAGTTACTTGCTTCCTATCATGCTATCTACAAGACACAAGCATAAAACAGCACTTCAAGACACATCACTGGTGCAAGTAGCAATTATGTGTTCTGCAATCTGCAACCAGAGTTCTAAAGGGCACAGATACAAATGCTGCACACAAAGAACTCCAGCACCACAGTAAGAACATCATCATGTCTTTAGACATTCACATTTCCTTTTAAAGGAAATTTCACATTTGCTTTTAAAATCAGAGTTACTATACATAAAACCAATCATGATATTGTTTTTTTCCCTTTTTCAATTCTTTTCATCTTAAGTACTTTTTAACCATTCACATAGCTCTGCAGTCTACAGTTTTAAATTATTCAGGTGTAATATTACTGGCTGCCAAATTCAGTCACAGCTGAAGTATACACAACACTTCTTCCTTTACTGGACACATAGCAGACAGTCTTTTTCCTATTTATATCTGCTAAGACTACACAAATTTATGCAGACTATGATAACCCAAAATCTCTAGCAAAGATTCTTAAAGTCAGCCTTGTCAAACTACATCACTTGGGAGATAAATCCAGCATAAAGGAAAAGGGCCTGAGGATGTGTTCACACAGCATTACAGCCCAGTGAGCCCCACAGCACAGGAACCAGACTGACACTTCACCTCCAGCAATCCTGCACAACACTGGGTAAAACCAGAATTCGCACTGCCTCTAAAGGCCTCCCAACTTGCCCAAATTCAGCATTCATTTTTGCTCTCTTGCCTCCCCAAGGACACTACTGACATGTAAAGAGTATCCAAGCAGGCTCTTTAAGCCTGCTCCAGACAGACATTAGGAGCCCCCACCCCAGCAGAGCAGACTTGCACCCTTGTCACAGCAGATGTTGCTATCAGCTGCACAGCTTCCCCTTCCTGTTCCCTGTCCTGAGCACCGCTCTCCCCTGCAACAGGGCAGCACTGGCAGAGATCTTCTCCCTGGTCCATTTCAGCTAACAGAATCTCTAGAAACGAGACAAAAAAGGACAAGATGCAAGTGTGAGTGTGCTCTCCCAAAATGCCTCGCAGAGGCTGCTCCTTCAGGACCTGGATAAACTCTCTCAACTCATAGCTATGAATTAAATTTCAAGAATCTGAAACAGCATACATGGAAGATGCAAACTATCCCTTGAACTTTCATTCAGCATTCTTTGCAAGTTACACTAGTATTTTTGACTTTGAGCATACTTGGTAGACTGAGTTTTCCCATTAAATAGGACAACTCTGCGACTGAGGCATCCCAGCCATAGTAATTTCAAAAGATTTAACAGTTTCCCTTGTTTGTTCACCTGGGACACACTGCTGCCTCAAGACAGGGATTTAGCAAAGCATTTCAACACAGCAGTTAAGGGAGGTCTCAGAGGTGAGGCTTCCCATATTTGGGAATTCTTGGCATTCTTGCACTTTGCAGCAACAGGAGGAAGAATTAATCATTCACTGTACCTTGTCACTGTTCAAGAAAAAAACCTATCACATTAGTATTAAAAATAATTCATTTTATCTCCTTGGATGTCTAAAGTGTTATGAAAACAAATTTAAGATTCATCTTGCTCTTTCATATGGAGACTTGGAAACTACAGCACTTATCTGTTGTAAGCTTCTGAAGCTGTACCCATAGGAATGAAATAATGATTGAGATGTTTGCTTGCAATGGAAGTAAATTTAATACATTCAATTTCCAATTTACTAATTGAACACATTACTGAAGATATTTGCAGTATTTCACAATTAAGTCCCCATAACCAGTCATAATCATCACATCTATTATGACCAGAAAATGGAAGTTTAAAGGAACTAAATGGTTCCAGTTTTCTACAATCACATGACATGACATCTGTTTTGATAAAAAGTTGAAGATGCCAGACTACCCTAAATCTATAATACCAGGTTTTGGGCAAACTCATAAGGTGAGAGAAAGCTTCAATTCATATACAGAATGACACAGAGACAGGGAAGAATTGAAGCTTTTGAGACTGTGGATCTGTATATCAGGTATGAACAATTCTAAGAGTAGATACAGTGTGATACAAGATACCCATGTATCTTCCTCCAAGTTACCAAAGTAGTCACTTTCTTCTGTTTCTAGCCAAGCTACAACACGATTAAGGCGGCTTCAGTTACCTTGGTCTACTACCCTTCTAATTTTGCATATAGGGGAAGTTACCAAAATTAAAATAAGTGCAAAAATCTTAATAAAGCAGTGGAGAAATATTTAAGGACATATTTAGCTCAGTCACTAAACAAGTGTGTGCTTTCTGGACTAAGAACTGCTAGGGAAAGCTCAAGCTCTGGAGCACTATCTAGCTGCAGGTTTTAGAGGCCAGAGAAAAGCGCAGAAGGAAACAATGCACACCTGGGCCATTGTCAGCCATCCCCAGGCTGAGACACAGCACTGGAACACAGCACAGGGCCTGCCTCACTTGGCAGAATTCTCAATTTCCTGTGGTTTAAATGCAGAAACGTACTTCAAGTGTTCCGAGTATTTTTAGAAGTGATTGGACTCAATTTTCAGAAACAGCCAATTACTCTAAACAGACGACAGTGTGATTGTTGTGAATTTAGTCTCACTAGGCCCTGTGTCCACCACACAGAGGGATCTCTTCACACTTTTTTTCAATCCAAAAGAGCTTTAATGTAGCCAAAGGCTTATACCAAAATGTTAAGAGAGTTAGTCCAAATAAGATCATTAGGCTGGTTCCAGAATATAGTTATTCATTTCAGTAACATCTTCCTACTCCTAGTCCAGAACTCAATGTATAAACAGCACCTGAATTTGAATACTTGGCTGTTCCTATCCCAAACTGAAGCTTGAAATATGAGGTTCACCTCCTACAGATTTACTGTAAGGACTGATTGCAGCAGAAGGAAAGGATGAACAAAAATAGTACTTCATCCAACCACTCACACCATTTATGGTGCTCCCGCCTACAAGACTCACGGCATTCTGAAGACACAGCATGAGATCATTTGTGATCTGATCCCAGCATCTATTTTGTGTCCCTGCTTATCAAAGTCACTGTACAATAGCTGTTAATATTGCTTGTAGAGCAACATTTGATAGTTACCACCCCGAATTCCTCCTTTACAGATAACGATACATTGTGTCAGGAATCTTCTGCAAAGCTTTGCAAAGTAACCCATTCCTGGCAGGTATTGTATGTCCTAAATATCAAACAGGAGTCACCCTGGCAGCCTGCAAGCAGCACACATTCCAGATTTTCCAGTCATTTACTTTTGTCTGTCAGATACTGCCAAAAGGCAGGTCAAGTAGAACATAGTCAGGAGGTTCTGTCAGGTTGAGCTATGGGGGAAAAATGATTCTTCCTTAGAGGGAGATGCAAGCCACCTCCAAAGCTTACCACACAGGTTCACAGCTGATGGAAGGTGCATACCTGTAGTCTATTATTCTTTTAAAAACATGCATATTCCTTCTAGAGAGGAACCACACTTAAAGACAAAACAGCAAAACAGTACTAGCAGCACAAACACTATACTGGGAAGGTGGTACAACTTTGGATCAACCAACTGACTTTGCAGTGAAACCCAGGAACACTCAGAGTCCCTTTTCCATGGGTTAGCCAGAAAGCAGCTGTACAGCTCAGGACAATGGCAAACACTCCCAGGCATATGGATTTCATTCTATGTGTTGGAAGGCAGCCTTGCAAGAGGTTTTTCAAAACCTAACACAGACCAGCATCAACATAATGAGGCTTGAGTCTCTGATGCACCCATGAAGCAGCAAAACTGACTCTGCTCCAGGATATCCCAAGCTCTGCCCATGCCATGGTGCCACTATGCTGGCAGGGCTGGGCAGTTCAGAAGAAAACACTTTGCCCCATCATATAATATTTTTACATCTCAATTCCTTACTCATTGGTTATTAGTAATTATAAGACTACTTTGTCTCTCCAAATATGATGATTCAATATCTGACTTCATTATTAAAATACCTTTTTACCAAGCAGTAAGAAAAATGAATTGAACATGACTTTAGAGCCTGAAGTGGGAGAAAGCAGCATGGAGCTGCAAGAAAGGACAGGAAGCAGATTAGCCACAAAAGGCAGGAAAGGCACTACGCTAGTGTCTGGTTCCAACTCTGCCCACCAGAGTTAGCTCAACTTCTGTCAGCACACGGAAGTTTCCCTGCACTCCAACAATTCTCCCACTCCTCCCAAATGAGAAGGTGACTCATGGCTTGTATTGTTTACTCGGTGTGTCTTTAACAACTAAGGCAGCAGTTCCTGCTCTCTGTTACATCCAGGTATGTCTAGATTATGTCTGTTTCATGGGTATCCCTGTCAGTTTATCCTGAAGCAACTGAGAATCATCTGACACCTATTGCACTATTAATGAAGATCACTGATTTTGAGAAAGAACTTGGAACTTCAATTCTAAGTTGCTGAAATATTCAGCAGCACACCAGCGCTTTCAGTGAATTGTGTGGGAAGACCACCTTTGTTAAACACCACAAAATTAGCTGGTCACCTGTTTCCCCATTGTTCAATATAAGTAAAGCCCCCAAATTGTTACAGTCAGACAGGTACAACAGGTTTACAACAATGTGTGTATAAATGTGTGACTGGAGTTCGTAGCTAGCATGCTCTGAACACTGACAACTCTCATGGATAACCAAAAAGGCCAACCTGTTCTTCCTTTAATTACAAAAGCCTAAGAACAGAAAAGGTGCCTATTGTAAAGATGATATTGACCAGCAGCAACACTGAAGTGAAAGTGTGCTTTCATTTATACTCTTGAATAAACATCATTCAACTCAAGAGGCCTGTTGGATACTTTTCTCTTAAGTATAGGAGACAGAGAATTAAATATAAGAGAAGGAGGCAAAACAGAGATGAAATAACCAGACCACAGGGAAAAAACTGTCACACAATCAGCATAAGGTCACTGAATTATTGACCCAATACACCTTTTAACAATGGAGTTGAAATTTAAGTTCCTTTTCCTGCACCTCCTTCAGAAAGTATGCAACAGCTAGTACAGGCACAGCAGCGGAATGCCATGGAATCATTCTTTAAACTGAAACAAGCAGAATTGTTACAACAGTAGCTTCCCCCACACTTCTCACGTGTGCCTGCTCAGCACAAATAAACCTATGTGTGTCTTGTCAGCACACCTGCCTTACCACACAAATACTTGCTCCCACAGATTTGTGTATTAAATGATTTTATATGCTGATCCCTGGGGATTACTGAAAATAATTAGGAAAGAGAAGTTTCTCTTCCAGGTAACAGGTCAGAGCTGCTAGTGTAAATCAGCATCACACTGGAATGCTTGATGACTTAAGTTTTACTGACTTTTGAGGTCACAACACTGATACAAGGGACAAAGGAATGTAATAGTCCAACTGATCACTGCAGAAGCCACACCACCAAGAGTTTCAGCACTGTCAGTTTCACGGTTTGATGGCTCCTGTTACAAGTGAGCATTTTCTAATAAAGGGCCTCGATATCTGACAACAGTCCATGTCAAGAATAATAACTTCCATGTCTATGCGTTTGGCTTAAATAACTAGCTCTGAAATTACAACCTACGGCTATAAAGGCTTACACTACCTGCTGCCCAAAGCAAACCCTCATTTACTCTGATCTAGATTATGCATGGGTGGAGTGGCGGACAAAAGCTGTAAATTACAATCTTTTATAGTACTGGAAGAGGAAGGTGCTACAGAATATCACTCAACAAGAAGTCAAAGGATGTCAAAAGTCCACACATGATGAGTAAACCCACTTGGCAGAGGAAGCGCCGACAGCTGTACGCGCTCGGGACCCTTCGCCTACAACCCGGGGCGTGCCTGTACAACACGATCCCTGCCGCTGGAACTGCGGCCCGGGGAGGGAAAACGCCAGGCCCGAGGCCGCCTCGCCCGAGGAGCGGCTCCCGGGCGCTGCAGCCGCGGCCGGGCCGCGCCCCGTCCCCGGGCAGGGCGGCCGGGCCCGCCTCGCCCCGCGCTCCCCGCGGCCCGGCAGCGCCCGCGGGCCCGCGCTTACCTCCTCCGCCTCCTTCCCCAGAGGGATGCCCATGGCCCGCAGGCCCGTCTGGAGCTCGGCAATGTCCACCCTCCCGTCTTCGTTGAGGTCCAGCTTTCGGAAGAGGTTGGCGTAGCGGGACTCGCCATCCCTGTTCCCGTCGCAGGCGGCCGCCGGCAGAAGGAAGCCTCGCAGGAGCTGGAACATGTCGGGGCCGTGCAGCGCGTACGGACGGACAGCGTCCCTCGCCTCCCGCCGGCTGGGCGCGGACGAGACAGCGCCCGCGATGCTGCCAGCGCTCGCAGCTGCCAGGGGAGGGGAGAGCAGGGCAGAGCCGGGCCGGGCCCGCCCGGCGGCCAGGGGCGGAGAGAGGGCGGGGAGCGGCGGGCTCGCTCCGCCCGCGCCGCGCTCCCCGCGCCCCCGCGCTGGGCGGGAGGCGTGCGCGGAGGAAAGGGAGCGGCCGCAGCCCCCGCGCTCGTCACCGCGCTCCCGCCGCACCAACGCGCCTGTAGCAGCTCAGCGCCTCCTGCTCGGGCAGAGAAATACCACAAACGCTACAAAAGACACAGTTTGGATGCTTGGCTCATTCTAGTCCCCCCCATTGGAGTCTAGCTGCGCACAGCTCAGTTGAAGGTGTATGAAGAGCATCCCAACCTAAGTGCAGCCTGAAAGAGCTTGGCTACTTGGCCTAACAGAATAAACATTAGAAGAGGAAGCCTCTAGGGGTTTTTTCTTCATAATGGTTTCATAAATAAATTAGTGGAGTTAATGGAAAAGTGCACAGGTTGTCTAAGAGTAAATGGATAGAAAATGTCACCAAACAGTCTCTCTTCCTGCAAGAGAGTTGCCGTGAAAAGGAATTTCAGCTGCCACAGAACTGAGCCTTGGTTTCCTGGTGCATATTCAGCCAACACACAGCCATGGAAAACATATTTCAGCACTACAGCAGAAACTCTGTAACCTTGCTCACCAAGTAATTAACAAAACTAGTGTGCCACAGTGTCTGACCATGGACTACTGTTTGAAAAAGGGCTACTGCTACTAGTACTTGCATATAAAAAGACTGCTGGATTGTGTTATAAGTTCATTGTGTCGCAGAGTAAGTGGTATGGGAAGGGACCTCCTGCTCAAAGTGGGCTCATCCATGAACTCCGACCCGGTTACTCAGGTCTTTATTTCAGTCTTAAAGACCTCCAAGGATGGAAACAACAATCTCTCCAAGCAGCCTGGCCTAGAGCCTGACTGTTCTCACAGGGAGGAGGATCTCTTCTAAACACTGAGCTGTTCTTATTTCACTTTGTGTCTGCTGTCTTTTGTCATCCCACCATACTCCATGACAAGAATCCTGATCCTATTTCCTTTGTAAACTCTCTGTAGGTACCATCAAGGTAGAGGTCTCCTTTTAAGTTGCCTCAAAGCCTTACTTTCTCCTGGTTGGCAAGCTCAGTTTCCTCAGCCCCTCTTCACAGAGCAAGTGCTCCAGCCCCCAGACGTCATGGTGGCCATCTGTTAAACTCCCTGGTTTATCCATGATCTTCAGGTATTGGGAAGCCCAGAACAAGACTAGTGTATAAATACAGTCTGGCTTGTGCAGAGTAGAGGGTGATAATCCCCATCCCCTGGCCATGCTCCTGTTGATACAGCCCAGGATGCTGCTAGCCCATGCTCAGATTGCTCTCTGCCAGGACCCCCATGTCCTCTCAGCACAGCTGCTCCCTGTGGTTGCAAGGGATTGTTCCTTCCTATATGCAGTACTTTATGTTTGTCATTGAATTTCAAAAAGTCCCAGTCACCCCATTCCTCCAGCTTCTCTGAATGGCAAGCACACCAGGGGGTCCTCCACAGTTTGTGGGAAATACAGGAAAACACTGGAATAGGCAGAGCCTGAAGATACTTTACCCCATCTGGAATAAGGAAAGTGAATTCTGCTGAAGGTCACTGCATCCCAGCAATGTAATACTGCTAAGTAGTACAGCCCGTGATTCCACTTTTCTCCTCATACCATCACCCTTACATCTTCATCAAATGAAGTAACATTGTCTTTTGTCCCTAACCAGAATATGCAAGTAGTATCTGAACCCATTACTGAATACAATACCTAGACAGGTGACATACATGGGAATAAAAAACAGTGCTACCCTAAGCTCTCACTGCCTGCCAGTAAGTTCCTAATAATAACCAGCATTGTCACTGTCTGAGGTCTCAGCATTCCACCTATTTTCTTATGTATCATACTAAGTGCTGTATGTGTATATTAATAACAAACATGAATTAGAACTACTCAAAAAGTGACATCAAGACTCTGTCACGAAAACATGTGAAAAGTTAGTGCCAATAGTCCAAAATTCAAGGTAATTGAGGAAGAGATGTATTTGTTCTTCCTGAAGAAGAAAAAAAGCTACTTGTGGCAGGCTTGGCTTTCATAAATGCATCCTGCATAGGTATCATTTATATGGTGTGCCATACTGTTCAGAGTTGTGTAGGAAGAAAGAAGAGGCCATGGATAAAAAGCAGATAATAACTTGCTGGTTTGACAATGAACATGTGCAAATAGATTCGGCTTTCACTTGTGTGCAGAGCAGAAGCCGGAGGTACCAGCTGTGTATCATTGATCCAACTGTTTATCCACGATGAGACACAACAGTGAAATTCATTCTTCAGGTTTGCTCTGATCTCCTTGAAAATGGAGTAAGTAGCAAAGAGCTGTGCAGAAGGCATAAATGCTTTGACTTCAGTATGACTGGCTGACAATCAAGGGGAGGTGAGAGCCTCAGGAATTTCACTCGTGTTGACAGATGAACCATTAGGCACACTCCTGAGAAAGCCATTGCTCTTGGGAGATACAGACACTCCTTAGGTGTAGCTAACCTCCTGCAGGGACATCTGAGACAGCGACCACAAACACAAATCCAGAGATCTGCCTCATTTATATCAAAGAGAAAATGAATCTTCCCTATTATTTGGAAACTAGCTCTACCACAACTATCATTTCTTCTATAAAGGACCTTGTATGGCATGTTTTGGAGCTGTTTCATTTACAAAGTCCCTGTTTGTTAAAAGTGAGTCTTGAATAGTCCATGACTTTACACATTGATCTTCACCTTGCTTGAAGGAACTGCAAAGGACCTGCAAAGGACAAAATCAAGAAATACTTTTGCACAAGACATCTTATTTTTAATGTTAGAATGGGGGATTCTGTTTTTGTTGGCTTGTTTTGGTTTTTTTAAATTCCATTACATTTATATTTATTTTAGTATTATATGGCTTTTTGATATCAAAACTGATTAGTATCAGAAGAGCAAAAACATAGCCAAAAAAAAAGCATTTAACTTACCAGAAAAAAAACCTTTTAATTAATGTTATATCAATACATATACAATAAATATTTAAATTACATCAATACAATCCACTTAGATGAAGTGCTATAGATATCACAAAACCTCAGAGACTGGAAGCAGACAATATATATTATTAATAGACTAAAAGATAACTCAGCTGAATTTCATTATTAGGTATCTACTTTAGATACTGTAGCTCTTTTTCTGTGAGTAAGGAAGCTCTTCATAATAATCCTAAGATTTTGAAAATCATCTACTGCATGAGCCAGAAATAATTTCTGGTGTAGCTCCAAAGACTGCAGGGAAGTTGAGTAATATTTAAATTATAAGATCAAATCCAGTTCTGCTACACATTTAAAATGGTCTGTTAAATACATCCAGAAATTTTATGTCACCTGATGGAGCAGTCTTCACTTCACACATGGGAGGATAAAATTAAGGAACATAAATGCAATAAATATTTAAGAGGCAACAAAGTTCATTGGTTTTAATTTATTTAATGTAAAATGAATACTTGCTTCATTATATAGATGTAATTAGCTCAGTTTTAAACTAATATTATAAACTAATTCTTAAAAAAGCCATATGGAGTCTTATTATCATATAATAAACTATAGCAAATTTAGATTTTTTTTCCATATATTTTTCTTTACCGCTTCTTGTCTAGCACACAGCATTGGACTGGTTTAGCATGAAAAAGGTACTGTGTATTAATTCAGACAGATTGGTGGTGTAATTCAGGTAAATATAATTTACATCAAGAAATCATGATTTAAAACCATCAGTGGAGGTTCAGCTGGGTTCTGACTTCTCCTGTGACACATCCCCATTTTGGAGAGCACTGAACAGCCCAGGCCAGGGGCTTTTCCTTGAGCTTTGTTCACAGCACAGCTTTAACAGCCAGGCCACACGAAGGCAGGGATCCCTCAGAGGGACAGCCCTGTGGGTCTGTGCTAGACATGTGCAAACACATTTGGAGGACTGAGACTTCAGCAGCATGAGGAATGTCATTATTAAAGAGCTCACCTACACACATTGCTTTTAGCTCCCACCAACCTCACTTTTTGGTTTAATTTCATTTCAGGTATCCAAATGAATCTTTCCATGACCAAGACAAAGTGCTTACAATGTGCTGCTGCTGGGAGCACTGATCTGGGTATAGGTTGGAGCCCAGGCCTTACATCACATCCAATGTCAAACCTAGAGGCATTTCAAAGCTTTTCTGATGCTACTATTCTCAGGAAAAAGAGCTACAGGTCAGAAATCAAGTGCCCAGCAGGAAACCGGTGCCATAGAAAATATACAGGGCTAGTGGATAAATACAGATCACATTAGCACAACCTCTAACAATGATGATGCTCTGCAGGATTTAAACCTCACAGAGACCTGTGCTTCAGCTGTCCACTGAATCACCTGTCCATAAGGAACATTGCCTATTAACTCCTGCAATTTTGTAACTGAAATTTTACATTCTTCAGGAGAGCAAACAGCTCTTGAATTATTTGTTTTATTCTACTGTAACTGGGGCATTTTGTAAAACATGTTTTTCTTGAATATTTGAAGTCTTGTACCTGTAACATCCAACTTCTTTAAAGATTTAGGAATTTCACCTAAAAAACCTCCAGTGCTTTAATCTTACAGAAGTTTTTATCAATGACAACACAGGACTGTTACATCACCTATAGTGTTCATCCGTTTTTAAAAAACTCTTCTGCTATTCTGAGAATCTTTTGATTAAAGATTCTAAATATATTTTAAAATCTATACTTCTGACACTATTGACTTTGACTCTTTTGGTCAATAAGGTTATACTGAATATAGAGAGTTTTTTCTAGTTACCTCTTCAGAACATAAATATAGCCCTTGAATAGATTGGGCTTTTTCAGATAAGGGTTGTCTTTGACTCAAACCTCCTAAAATCATCTGGCATCCCCCTTGTATTTCTTTCCAGCAGTCAGCCTTGTATTTTTTTCAGGCAGGGCACAGCAAGGGCCAGCTCTCCCCAGGAGCAGCAGGATGGGTGCAAGAGCCCAGGGAGCAGGGCAGGGCCCCCAGGCAGAGCCCACCCGGCTTGGGGGGAGCAGGGAAAGAAGGAAAGCACCGCAGGCTCAGCAGCAGCAGCCACAGCCAGGCACACCTACAACAGGAAGAAAGCTCTGAAACCAAGCTGAGAAAGCAGGGTCAGGGCCCTCAGCAAGGCACGGGCAACACAACAAAGGGAGCTAAGGCAAGGCTCAGACAAGGACTGCTGGCTCGTGGCTGAGCTGAAACAGGTCCCTGAGCAGGGGCGGGTGAGGCTGCTCAGGGCTGCTCCTGGGTAAGTTCACAGCTGCCTGGGGACATTGCTTACACGGGAAGCTGCTTCCATGGGGTAATACTCAAAGTACACATAGGCTTTTATAATTTATGAGGGTTACCCATCTACTTCTTTGATGAGTGAAATAATCCAGTTTTTCTTGAAAATATTGATTAATAGCTGGATCAATTGTATTTATTGAACTTTAACAGACAAATTATGGCGTGTAACCCTATTTTTCTTTCTACATCTTAATGCAATGGACCTTCTAGGGTAATGTATATCAACCATTTTTAAAAAAAAAACTCTAAAACTGGGTCTTTTACACAAAAAGAAAGGAGGCTCTTCATACAACTTGGTACCAACTAAGTACTAATTTAGTCCCTTTAGGTGCTGAAAGCTTTTCACCTTCCACTTCTTTGAACAGAGAGAGCTGATGAGTACAGTACCCAGACAATTGCTTTGTATGCTGTATTGTAGGCACTTGTGGTCTGTTAAACAGAAAAGACTTTCAGGATTACTTTAGGGCATATCAAAGAAATGTTCTGAAAAGGGAACCCATAGGTCAAGGCCAAATGCCTAGATCTCCTCTCTAAGATATCTCTTTATTAATTTTACTCCAGTAAAAAGACTTCTTTCAGAGCCAGTTATTCCTTGACATTTAGGAGTTTTGTAGGGAATTCTTTGTTAGGAATGCAAAACTGACAATGGCATCAGAACTACCCTTGTAGTTTATTTTTTACTAGGAAATTGTATATAAATTCATTTTCTATATGTTTTAGGACAGGAAAAAAACAGGAGCATTTATTTTCCAGAACACTCCATTTTTATGTTTGTTTGTGTTTTTTGTTTTTGCTCCTTACTACTGCTTTTTTTCTTCCCCCTAGGATTATGCTACAGGACAGTTGGGAACATTCTGACATACTTAGCTGCATATTATTTGTGCTACCTGGATTGATCAGGTATGTATTCTATGAAAAAATATATTTCTATGTATTTATACTGAATGAGGGGCAGCACTACTTCCTCCAGCCGCAAGAAGATTATGGGGCAGATCACACTGCATACGTAGTCTTACAAGTTCTTTTTCTTACCATGTGATGAAGTGCCTGGCTGTGGGAAGACACGCTGTGTGTTCCTTACGCAACGCTGTAAAGAGGAAACTGATCTGCTGATGGAAGCTGCTCGGAGCTTGCTTTATGTTCAAATCTCCTGCAATGGTTTTTCAAGACAAAGCTGATCCCTAGAGAGCATATGCTGGTGTTGAACTGTACATTGAACAAGAGAGTCGCGTGTGTTGCCGTAATCATCTACACCACAGGACTGTTCTTAAATGTAAACACAGATGTGTACACTCTCCTCTACAAGACCGTGAGCATCTGTTGCTTGTAGCGGAAGCGGCGCTGGTTGTAAATTACAGGTTGAACGGCTGCACGCGACCCCCATAGGGTGTAAATTATAGCAGAAGGAAACTAAATTCAGAGTTGAAATGCCGACGCGTAAACGATGCTTTGTTGCGTTATGCTGTCTGAACGAGGAGCTGTGAGGAGGTTTGCGCTGCCGGGCCGGGCTGCACAAGCCCCGCTCGGTCACTGCTCGGGGCACCGTGCGGGGCGTGGGGCACGCCGAGCTCCCGGTATGGAACAGCCTGGTTCAATAGTCTCCCCGCCCGGGCCAACTTCTTCGGGAGAGCGCACGCCGACGCGGGAGCCCCTGGCGGCCGCGCTCGCCAATGGCTCCGGCCGGCGCCGCCGGCAGCGGGCGGAGCGGAGGCGGGCGGGTTTGAAAGGGAGGCGCCGGCTGCCATGTAAGCGCTGGCCGGGAGCGCCGCGGCCGGCAGGGGCTGAGCTGGCAGCGGCCGCCGCTCCGGCCCGTGCCGCCCTCGCCCCGGGCATGGGAGCGGAGCGGAGCAGGGTGGCCGGAGCGGAGCTGCCGTGGGGGCGGCCCCCGGGAAGCCCCTAGCCCATGGCCTTCATCATGATGAAGAAGAAGAAGTTCAAGTTCCGCGTGGAGCTGGAACTGGACGAGCTTTCCTCCGTGCCCTTCGTCAACGGCATCCTCTTCTGCAAGGTGCGGCTGCTGGACGGGGGCAGCTTCAGCGGGGAGTCCTCCCGGTAGGTGCCTCCGGGACTCGCCAGCCGGGGGCTGCCGGGCTGCCCGCCCCTCGCAGGGAGCCCCGGGCGGGCCGCGGCCGCCCCCGTCCGACGGGCTGCGCTCGAGTCCGCGTTCCCCGCGAGCAGGGGAAGCACGGCCGCCTCCGCAGCCCTTCGCCCGCTGCTGGCTCCCGCGGCGAGCCCGGGGCTCAGCCGGTTGGCGCTGGCGGGCAGGCGGGCGGGGGCCCGGGGAGAGGAGGGGCGGCTGCCCGGGGGCTCCTGGCGGCTGCGGCCGTGCTGCTCGCCGCTCCCCTCCCGAAGGGGAAGCTCCTGTGGCACGGCGTGGCACCGGGCGGGCTGGCCGTCTTCTCGTCCCGCCTGCTTTGCCAGCATCAACGGCAAGAGAACACATGTGGCAGAACTTGGAACTCCTCGTCTGCGTGGCTGCTCGCTGCCTGGAGTCGTAACGCTGTAAAATAAATACTGAGGCTCCTAAACGCGGAGTAACAGAGGAGAGGAATCCCTGAGTGATGAGGGTTGTCCCAGAGAAACGGGTCTCTTCTACCATAATGCTGGAGCTGCTGAGCGGATGGGTAACAGGAGGGGAGAATTTCTTGTCCCCAAGCCTGTAGTGTGAGCTGTCCCCTGTGAGTCGTGCGACCTTATTGTTTAATTATTGAAAACTGGCTTGTTGCGTTTCGTTCTGTGGATATTTACACGGAGACCTAAGATCCATGGAAAAGTCCTCTAAGTGCTCAGTGTTTCCTCTAAGTGCTCAGGTCATGTATTACTGACTTTGTTCATGCTCAGTTCTGCAGTGCAAGTGCAAGGCAGATGTCTTTTTTTTCCTCTTTCTTTTCCTTCACTTGTGCCTCAGCAATGGAGCAGCCATCTGTTGTGGCAGTGGCTTCCCGATCCACGGGTAGCAATGGGTAAATAGAGGGACAGTGTATTATTTTTTTTCCAAGTACCTGGCAGAGGCAGAACCTTGTCAATAGGAAGGGTGTGTGCTGTGGCTTCAGGTCTGGGAAGGAGGAGATTCCTCTCCCATTACACGTGTTCTTGTTGTATCAGTTATTATTTTAATATTATTGCAAAAAGGATTTACTGGAAAATGTATCATAGAATTATGGGAGAAGACAGTAATAAATCCATGAATATTCAGCTATTTTCTTATTAAAATACTGTCGTTACAGAGCTTTCTAAATTATCTGCTTTTGATTCTGTAAATTAAATTAATCAAGGAGAAGGACTAGAAATGGAACTTTCGCCTACAACCTCCTTATTTAACCATTCCATTATACTAGCATGTATAATTGAAGACAAATTTTTCTTCCATATGGTTGGAAGTTGTTCAGCTCGTCTGTACTCTGATCTCATTTCATGTCTTTCCTCAACATTTCTCTTGTGAGCGACTTCATAAGTAATAGATGATGATGATAACAATCGTGATTCAGGCACTAATGTGCCATTACTGTCCCCCTCCAGCCCTTATTGCCTTGAAGTCATTTCCACAGGCTGACATACATCTTCTGGACAGGATGTCTATTTTCAAGGACTTGCTTTCAGCTGAGCAGATGGTTTTGACATGTTGTGGTGATCTTAGTCTTTATTGCCTTGCCTATTTATGGCGCTAAAATAAAATGCTTGAAAGCCTACATTCATATCTTTCTGAATGGTTCATTAGAGTAAAATGTGTGTGGTAGGATGCAGTGTGTGTAGAGAAACTGATGTAAAAAATGGTGTTGGAGCTGAAGCTTAGAAATTCTTCCATTTTCTTTTTCGGGGGCTATGGCTTAGAAACTACCAGCAATGGAACATGTGCTGGTATGTCAAGGTCCCTGTGTGTAACTCATTCCTGCTGGACTGAGAAGTGTTTGAGTATGCTGGTAGGGAGGTAAAAATTCTTCTGCAGTGATCCTTCAGTGCCAGTTTAGGGAGTGCCTTTGCTCTTGGCTTAAGAATTAACAGATGAATTTTCAGAGTGGTGATTCAGCAAAGGGCTGAATAAATAAGGAGGAAATTGAGTTTACACCAGAGCGGTAGTATTTCAAAACTTATCAGATGCAAACTTTCTGATGGCCAGAATCTCCTAGTTGCATGCATTTGTTAGTTTTGCTGTGAGCTGGCAATTAAATTTCTAGAGTAGTGATCCTTTTAGCTTTATAAAAGACATTCAAAGAGTTCTCTTGTTTCAGAAAGTTATAGACAAACTCATTCCAAACATTTTCTAATACAAGGGGAAACTGACTCTGCTTTCTCAATAGCTTTATTTTATTTTTGTTACTCACTGAGGTCTAGTAAACTATAATTATTTTGGGAGAAGTTATGAACTTCTCAAGTTGGTGCCCATACAAACAAATACCCTGCTGCCTCTTGCCTTAGAAAGTAAAAAAAAAAAGAAAAATTCTAATCAATAGTCTATAAACCACCCTAACGTTATTAGCATTTTATTTCCAAAGCCTCACAGAGAAGAATGTCATAAAATCCCAGGGCAGCAGCTGCCTTGGAATAGGGGTCCATGTGTATGCAGCAAGTTGTCATGAAAACAAGTTTCAAGTGATTGTCCTGTCAGCCCTCTATGGATCATGCTGCATGAATGATTCAAGTCCTGATCCTGCAAGCAATGTGGTACCTTCCTCATCCCTCTGATCACTGAAGTGAGAGGGAAAAAAGACTGATAAAAGTTCAAGCTACTGAAAAATAAGGTTTTTTCATTACTCAGATCTTTGCTGAGAAAGAGCTACCTAAGAAATACATTATGGAGACAAGGGCCATGTTACTGGAGACTTATCACAGTCCAGTTACTTTTCTGGCTCCCACAGATGTGTGCCTGAAGCGTACAGAAATTCTGTGACCAGGTGAGACCAGCATGTATAGTGCAGTACACGGTGATCTGGCTGGTGTGTAAATAGAAACCACATCACTTTGCAGTTTTGTGTTTGCATATACTTTTTTAGAACTCCAATTAGAAAACTTATGTTTGAAACATTCCTATGCACATCTGTGAATCCTTACTATGGGAAAATAAAATTCTGGATTATAACACTAAACGTTTAATTTCTGCACAAGAATATTGACTTATAAAGCAAGCCGGTAGTGCCAAATAACATTTTTATCCAAGGACACTGACCAAGCCAAGTGGCAGCAGTGTTTAAACTGGTAAAAATGTTTGAGAGTTTCTGCAAGAGCAGGACCTTGGAATTCTGGCAAAAATTAATGTGTTATAAGTTTTAACTCTAAACCAGGAAAACCTTGAAGGGTGTTGTGGAAAGGGGGAGGCTCAGTTTGGTTGTTTCAGCAAACTCACAATCAGCCATACACTGTGATTCCTGCACTCCCCTTTTTGAAATGGCTTTCTAGCATGATTTCTGGATCTTTACCATTGTGTTTTAGAATAAAAGCTGGACTTTCAGCCAGTGGGCTGTGGATGTATGCAAAGTTATGGTAACAAACCTCACTTTCATTTAGAAAACTTCCTAGCTTAAGCCTGGTTTCCTGTGTGGCAAGGCATCTTTCTACCTTTCCCTGGGCCAATGACATTAGATCTCTCTTTGAAATTGGATAAGTTAATACATGACACTTGTGCAGATTCCAGGATACTGTGTATCTATACACTGCCTGGTCATGAAATAGTGTGCACATAATGGCAGTGAACCATGAAAGGGCATAAAATTATTTCAGGGCAGAAATTGCACTTACTAATATTTTGAACAGAAAAAAAAATATTTTAAGGTACAGACTTGACTGAATTCTAAGCATGTTTATTCATGGCCATTCTAATGTAGATATAAATATAGAGCAAGTATAGGCTTTCTGCAATTGCACTCATTTTAAAAGGCTGAATCAAAAATTAATAGGTCCCTAGAGCAGATAACTGAGGCTCATAGGCTGAGCTGTTGCTCAGCAGTAAATGAACAGATGGAATATGAGGAAATCCAAGAAATTTTGGGAATCTGGATCTGATTTCTTGAGGGTGTACTTTCAATGCTCTGCTCTATCAACTGAGGCTACAGGAGCTGTAAGCCTGCTAGTTCCATTTTTAGCTTGGATTCCAGTTGCACGCCACTCAAGGAAAGGACCTGGCTGGTGTGTTCTTCTGACTGCAGCCTTCAGCTTGGTCATATTCCCCTTCCTTTCAGATCTGATTTCTGACAGTTTAGACTGCTGATGTTTCTATCTTCTTTCTTTTACACAACATTCTAAACTAAGAAGCTGATTATGATTGCTATATGTGAGAGACAGAGATCAAGGTCGCCAAGAGCTATAAGCTTTTCATAAAATAATTCTATTTTCCAATGGATTTCGGCAATGTGGGGCTTTTTTTATGTACTCTCTTGAGTCCTGAGGGGAAGTCTTGGGACATCATGCATGAGTATATTCCTATTCCTAATAAGTACAGGCTAGAGCATGTAATTGTTTTCTGTAGAAATTGACTTCTTATCTGCCAGATAAGTACTTCTTTCTTCTAGTGATGCATGGCTAACTCCTTCTCAACTGTCTAAAACTACATCTGTATTTTTGTGACACCATCTGCCTCACTGGATTCTTCAAGTTGTCTTTTTGCCATTTTTTTTTTCCAGATTGCTGCTATTGCATTTGAAAGAGAGAAACTCTCCTGATAGTAACACAGCTTAACTAATTCTGTTTTTAAATTACAGTACTTGTTAGAAAAACATACCTGTCACATGGAATCACTGTCCCTATCACTCTAATCTTCCTGCATGATGTATGAATCCTGCTGACAGTCTTCAGAGCTGGATAATGCTACTTCTAATAGCTTTTTTGGCTGTAACTGGATTTGCAGCTGGGGAACTTGAAACAAAATAAGTTTCCAAGTACTGTGAGGAATATTGGCAGTGGGATAAAAGTCCTACCTTACAGTTTTGTAGTTGCTTTTTTCAAATTCTCAAATGCCCACTTAATGTTTCCTCAGTTGTGAAGAGATAGCTGGTTAAGCAGCTTTCAAACACTGTCCTCTGTAGGGAGGAAAAGGTGAGAAGTTCTCTATCCAAAGTAAA